TCATATCGGGTCGTTCGAACATGGTGAAGAACACGTCTTCATTTTAGCAGTTAGAAGGTGGCGGTGACATTCCAAGGGATCAGGACGTGGGCCGAGCGGAAAAGACACGATATTCCCCTGCACGAGAGGATCGATGTCCTGGAGAACGTGGTCTTCACCGTCCTCGTCAGGCAGCACTTCGTATCCCAGTCGTCTTCGTCGTGTGGGTCCGAGCGTGCCGGACATAGCACCGCGTCCCCGCGATCGCCAGGGTTTTGCCGTTGCGCGACCCGAGTTTTTCGCCCGACTCTCCTCTGGCGGCAACTCGAGGCCTGGCAAGCCGGGAGTGCATTACACGTAATTAGACGCCAGGGTGGCCCCAAGGTATGTCCGACAAACGGTCCTCCTCTTCCCTCCTCCGCCTTCCGCCATCGCCTTTTCCTTCTCGGCTCTCTTTCTTCATCTCTATCCTTCTTTGTTCGTTTCTTTCTTCCTTTCTTTCACTGTATTTCTACCTACGTACCTGTTGCCATCCCTTTTCTCTGTCTTCTTCCTCGCTGCCTTCCCCCTGTCTCTTTACCATTTTGTCGCTGTCTCCCCTACCTTAATCTCTCCTTGCGTCCTCCGATACCTCGGGAGCACGGCTTGAGAAACTGACTTCGTGCCCAGCTTCGTTTTATGTTTCTTCGCTTCGAGTTCCTCCCTTCCTACAGCTGTTCCTGTTTCGTCGCCCCGTCCTTACTTATCCGCGCTTCTTCCTCTCCGTGGCCCGACTCCTTCGTTTCCGAATCGTTCCCCTTCCTCCATCCCGAACGCCGTATACTTACCTATGTAACTCTTTGTAACTCGCTGCGAAACTGACCACTATTAGGAACACCGAGAACCGACGTGTGCGGCCACTTTGTTCCACCTGGACCGAGACCCACGCTGGGAACGGTGACGACACTTGCCCGGTGTCGAGAGATTGAACGATTTGTTCTGTGGATTGCGTCTTGAAACTTTCGTTTCGTTTTAAGCATGGTGCTTGTTACGAAATCGAGGTTCGAGACAAGGGTACACAGCAAACTCCTATATAGGGTATTAAAAAAAAAAACATTCAGTAACACGAGAAATGACGGTGATTTCGTTTAATTTATAATATTGTTGCGAGTACCCTTTGGATGGATCCAAGGCCTACTGGTGTTCGCGACTGGAACAAGAAGACAGCGAGAAGAAGGCGATCGGATCGATCGCTTGTCAAGTTGTCAGATTCGAGCAAGAGGCTATTGAGAGCAGACGTTCCGAAGCTACATTTAATTGCATTCCTATTGTACACATTTCTATTGTAAAGCTGGTTGTTATTTATTAAAGTTCGTGTTTACTCATTATGCCGAAACGCAACAATATCGTTTGTTTATATCATGTTGCATAAATGAATCGAACATATTTCTAAAATGCACTAAGAATTACGCCGAATTCTCTAGAGTTGCTAGTTTGTCCTAGCACGAATGTATCAGAGCACAAAGGGTTAAAATGACACCTGGGTGGCAGGCACCCTGGGAACGTCCCTGCCATCGACAAGTACGATCGTGGTATGCGTGTCGCCAAGTGAAAGAGGCGAACGAACATTGTATCGTCTCGGTCTGCGCAAAAATTTCCAACTAATTATATTTGTGCGTGTGCGAACACGTGTTTCACGCTTGCACGGACAGTCAATGGAAACTGTGACTATCGTCGAACAGGTTGTTACACGGTCCTGTCGTTGTGCAAGAGACTGGTACACTTAAGAAGAAGGGAATGGGAGAAGATGGAGAAGACAAGAAAAGGTTCATAGAAAAAGCGCTAGCACCGTTTAAAGCAAGATGCACCGGCGCGTTCTAAGTGTAATTACCATTGGCGCAATTAATTTAGCTAAATAGCCCTGGCATTAATTTACAATGTGAATCTCCCTCTTTTTGATGTCCTTTTCTCTTCTATTTAATGCCTTCGAGCTGCGTGTATCGACATTCCTTTCGCGACGTACACGTCGGCGTAGCCTCGTAAATTTCAACTGGTTTATAAATTATTTGCAAAAAATTGGGGCATCTCGAAGCATGTTCTGAAATTAACGATAAAACTACCGAGTCAGTCAACTTGACTCGTGTATTTCAAACTTCTTCCTAAAGTCAGTCAATCATTAACAATACTTTTATCGGAGTATTTAGGGATAATTATTTTAACTCTTTGTTTATTACTGAACCACTTGTTAATTTTGTTATGTATCTATTTGTATTTTTATTGAATATTTGAAGAAACCTAAGAAAATCTGTGCATATTGTATATGGAGCATATTTATTTATTTCATCTGCTTCTGTTGCGCAATATTATTTATATTCATACTATTTTTTGAGTAGCTCATTTAGGGGTAGATTCATAAAACTCCTGCGAGTATGGAATCCCTCTTTTCAAATCCAGATTCTCCAGCCAACGTGACAATGTTCTTGTAGTGCCATCTAGCAGTTCAACTATGCAACAAGTACAGGTGTATCGTGGTAAAGAACAGGTAGAACGAAGCGAGCTGGGGCCTCTCGCAGGAATAAATCTTACGAGCTTTGCTTCTGGTCCAAGGTAAGGAAGTTCTACTTTCCTTGAATATATTTAAACAATCAGACCAATTCGGAGATATATAGTGTACTATATTATGCAACCACCCCTATGATTTTCATTATTATTTGACAGAATAAAATTTATTTTATCGTGGTTGTCACAGATCAGAAGTATTGATCAGATAAGAAGTCTTGTATTACATTGTATTTCTTTGTACTTTCTTCTACTTTAGCATTATTTCTATTATCTAATATTTTTCATATATTTTTTCTTGTAAGTTTTCAGGGTAGGGTCCAATTTTTTCGGATACAATCTTACAGATTTTATTGATAAAGACGTATTCGATGGAAATAATACAAAATACCTTAATTCATCTTGGCTTATACAACATGGAGAGCGAGGTGTTCATATGAGGAAAGTAAATTGATTCAAGCTGAGTAACATGTGATATCTTTAATCGTATATTTCCTCAAATTTTTCCGTGTTATTATGTAGTATTATTAGTTATCATACCTGACCTGTTTGATGTGTAATCCATTGTTTATTGAAGGCAGGTTTGCAACACGGTGTAACAGTCTCGCATTTTTGGTGACTAATGCGTGATTATAACACGAATGACGTGATTCACGGATTATAATGACGAGGAAAATTTTGAAATGTTTTTTATTAATAGGGAATGGGAGTATTTTAATTACTTAGATGTTTCTAATGGAGCATATTATAAAACAGAATGTTTCCTACCTCCTTCTGTACTTTAACACCTTGAACGCCACGTCACCCATACATGGGTGACAGAGCTTTTCCGAGAAAAATGTTAATGAAAACAAATCTGGAGAAAAATTCGTAAATTTTGATGAGAATCAAAAATAATACGACAAATATTAAGTTCTATAGTTTCTAATCTTCTCGAGACAAAGTTTTAGTCCTGCAGACCTTTCCATGTGAATCAGTCTGGCAATCAACGTGTTAATGTCGCTTTTATTGACAAGACATTGATAAACATGCACTACAAGAATATAAACCATCACTCAACTAAATTATGTACATGAAACTATCTACACGGAGAGCATTGGAATCCTGAATAATTTGCTTACCTTTAGCGATAGAAAAAAAAGTGTCGAACGTGAATGAGAAAAACGAAATCATCGTAGGACTATTATTGCGCGTTAAAGAGGTGCAATCGCCGCGAGTCCATTGGCATTTGCTGGTGGTCCAATTAGCGTAGCATCCGATAAACGAACGCGCGACGGGGTGGCTGCGCAATTGCTGGTAGGCAGCCATATAAATTTCTTAGTAGCAACCGGTAAGCCGGTCGGTGGACGACCAGGCTAACTGTGCTGTACACGCCAAGCTGACTTTCTTGCGTGGTCAGCGAACAGGCGCGCTCACTAAAGGGTATTAAACGCCTTCTTCGTAGACTGGCCGATGATTGCACCAACGACAGTTACTATCTGGAAACTGCCGCCTTCCGTCAAACGGCAAGTAGCAGAGAGTGACTATACAGTTAACCCTTTGACTGCGAGAATATTTTTGCTAGAAATTCTAAGGGGCGCGTCACTCAAACAGGGTCGAGATCGTATTTTAAGCGTCTTACTTAAATGGCGAAATTTTCAAAATTCAAACAATTTTTGAAGAAAACCTTACAGAGGATGACAAGACGAAACTTTCTTTATATTTATAGTTTATTCAACCGATGTTTAGTTTTAAAAATGAACAGTGAAAGCTTGGAAGTTCTTTCTCCTGAAATTTAATTATGTTATAAAATATACATTGTTGCAACTCGGCTGAATGTCATCGGAATGGTTTCGAATTTCCATTATTGTATATTAATATTTAATTGCTAATGAGTAAATCAATTTTACATAGTGTGAGTCATTTTTATTTTCTAGCAGGCAACATATGAATATGAATGTTTAATAGAAAACATTGTCAAAATCGTTTATATACTCATGTATCGTACTAGCAGATCTTTTGAGAAATACATAAATTTACAGGTTCGCGTGGGAATATTTGACTTTCGGCCAGTGCTCGTTCTTCTGTCCATTGCTTATTGTTAGCCAGGTATTTCAGACTAATCTGCCAATAGCTTTTCGTTATGCTCCAACCACCGAAGATGTTTGGATTTTAGTTTGCGTTTCGACACCTGCGATACATTGTCGCGTTTTCGTGATCGGTGATGTTGTAGCATTCGAATGCTTTAGGTAATTTCTCGTTGAGCTTCGATATCGTCAATTAGATTTTTCGTGTACGATTTTACTTAAAGGTACGTGCATAATATTAATTTTACCTCTTCAAATTAATTCCATTTCAAATTTGTCTACTCTTAAAATGTTTTCATGATTGTAAAAACATTATTTTCTTTTTATGGAAGAGGAATTCTCTTTACTCTATGTTTATTCTTATTTATAGAACAATAAATCTTATGCAGAATGGAAGAAGACGTGAATTCCTTCGATGAGTATAGATCTGCACAACCAGTACCCAGGAAATCTCGGAAGTCGCACACGTGGAAATACTTTACAAGTAGTAAGTAAAGATGTTTGAGTGAAAATTTATTGAATTATAATTGGTTACGTATCCACCCAATTTACATTTATGTTTTTAGTTTGGTATAGGATCAAAGCAGAGATTAATGGGACGAAATACGAGGATTCAAGTAAGGGGAGTCACGATTTCTGTAAGTTTCGTATATTTTATATAAATTATTCACTTAAAAAAATACTCTTGAAACAATAATAATTCGTATAATGGGATTATAAATAACAATTTTGTAATCGTCCGATGTTAACAACATTTCCATATTACAGAGTCCTTTTTTACTTACATAAGGTAACAAGATGATAAATCATTTTAAATTACAGGCAAACATTTAGTCCTCTTAAAAATAAAAAAATTAATGAATTATTCAGTGAAGCTTAGAATTATTTTCAATTAGAGTTGACTACATCCCTATTTCGATAACTTTTTTTGCAGAACGATATGGATAAATTATCGACGGTGTTACCACTAGAGGTCTACGTTTTGCAGTCATTTGACCATCCGTGTTTCACATTTTGTAACGTAAAGCGTAGAACAAGGATAGTTAAATGCTGGTTGCTCAGGCCTGAAATGATAATGCACTAACGTCGATAAGTTAGCCATGGAGATCTGCAAACAGAATTTATCCGGATGAAAATATCTGTTTCGAGTTATTGTTTTATCTACAGTTGAATACTGATATGAAAAATATAACAAGTAAATATT